GCACCTAGGTAGTCTGCTCTACGTGATAGCGCATCAGCAACCTTGTTATACTCTCCCTTCAGGTACTCAAGCTTGAAGTCATATTGGTCTATGACCTCAATCCATCGCTTGAGTGCGTTAGAAAGAGTCGGTTGAGTCTTGATCCATTTGAGGGTCTGATGATCAGTCCTCAAGTAGAAGAACCTTCCCAATAGGAAGTGTCTCCAATGGACAAGTGCTTTATATAGAGCATAGAGTTCACTTTCGTAGGTGGACTTTACCAACTTCTTTGATGGCATCTTCTTGCTCATGTACTCAATCGGTCTCAACTTCTTCCCATCCTTTAGAGCCAGCGATGCGCCAATGCCGTATTGGCTTGCGTCAGTGGTCACTATGAATGGCTTCTGAGGATCGGGAACCATGAGGACTTCATGATTCATGAGTGCATGCTTCAATCTCTTGAAAGCACCCTCGCACTCATCACTCCAGTCCCACGGCGTGTCAAGTCGAGTTAGATCAGTCAAAGGAGAGGCAACTGTAGAATAGTTCTTAACGAAGTTCCTATAGTAGCCGCACATTCCTAAGAATGATCTGACCTCAGTGACTGTCTGAGGTCGTGGCCAGTCTCGAATACTAGCCACCTTCGCATCTTCCGGCCTAATCCCCTCCGCGGATACTTCATGACCCAAGTATAGTATCTTAGTGCGACCAAACTCACACTTCTTTAAGTTGACCTTATACTTGTGTTGTTGCAGGAGTGAAAGTACAGTCTCAACGTGTTGTGCGTGCTCCTCGGCAGACTTGCCAAAGATCAGAATGTCGTCAAGGTATACCACGACAAACTTATCTAAATGGGCATGGAAGATCCGATTCATAGCGTGCTGGAATGTACCCGACGCATTACAAAGACCAAAAGGCATCACTACAAACTCATACAGACCATAACGAGTCTGGAAAGCTGTCTTGTGTTGGTCCTCAGACCTTTTAGCGATCTGATGATAGCCGGATTTCAAGTCTAGCTTGCCATAGTACTTGCATCCCTGCACCCTATCCAATAGGTCGTCTATGCGAGGTAGAGGCTCTGCGTTCTTCACTGTGATGGCATTGAGGCCTCTATAGTCAATGCACATCCTCAAAGTACCCCCCTTCTTTGGTACAAATAGTACGGGAGATCCGTAAGGGGAAGTACTAGGCCGAATCCATCCCTTTTCTGTCAGTTCCTTGAGCTGTCGCCGAAGTTCATCTAACTCGGTGGGAACCATCCTATAGATCCTTCCCTTTGGGGTTTTACTCCCTGGAATGATTTCTATAGCGTGGACAACTTCCCTTTCAACAACTCCTGTGGGCTCTTCGAACAGATCAGGGAACTTAGCAACGACGCGTTCTATCTCTGGGGGTGTTTTAACGGCCTCCCCTTTTTCAGAGACATACACTAGGTACATACCYTCCTCTTSGTTTTGCTTGTAGTAATTGTAGAACGCTGATGCACACAAGCAGCCATAGGTATTTATAATACTACTGGCCTTGAACTTAGTCAATCTGACAGTTCGGCCATCGGGCAACTTATGCTTGAGCACCTTCTTATCCCAGTCGAACAGGGGCTTAGCAACTTCGAGGTAGTACATGCCTAACAACATGTCGAATGGTAAGTCGTCGCTAACCAAGAACGAAATCTTATGATTAAGTTCGCCTCCTCCATAGGAGAAGGTACAGACTACGTCCTTGATGTAGTCTGTTACTATCATGCGCTCCTTGTTGGCCAAAGTAGATGCTACTGGTCTACTAAGGTGTCGTACCCGGTCCTGTAGGTGCAACCTTTCCAAACAGTCGCGACTTATGTAATTCTGCGTGGATCCGATGTCTATGAAGGCACCACATTTGCGGCCTCCTACATCCACTTCCACCACAAAATGTTCCCCTCTAGGACCTTTCTTCAGTGCCACCCAAGACTCACGAGGGTCCTTGTTTGACCACTCACCTTCTAAGTCTTCTAAGGCCTCAGACACATCTAACGTACAGAGCATAGTTTGGTCTAGATGTGTCTGGCTAAGGAGTCATTAGCTTTGGCCTTGTCATGAAGTGGGGAGGGTATCAAGCCCACGTCATCTTGAGTAGAAGCCGCTAAAACTTCCACTGGCCTCACGCGTTTCCCGAGCTAGAAGCCTGGGAATAAGATGCCCCCATCTTTGGAGCTATCTTTTGCGTAACCTTTGTGTTCTGACACTTGTACTGCGAGTGTCCGTATTCAGAAGNTATTCAGAAGCCTGGGAATAAGATGCCCCCATCTTTGGAGCTATCTTTTGCGTAACCTTTGTGTTCTGACACTTGTACTGCGAGTGTCCGTATTCCCCGCAATTGATACAAGCGCCACGCACTCGGCGGTCACGCCACACGTCTTGATCAAGACCTACCTTCACCCATTCAGCCACTTTGGACTGATTGGAGGCGGCCTTCCCTTGACTCCTAGGTTGGCCCTTCCCTCGGCCACCTGCCTCAGTCTTGACTACCGCGGCGAGGGTGCTACCCTCAGCTACCTCCTCGCCATCAAACTCTGTATAGTCCATCAGGTCAGTGAGCTCGTCGATCTCAGTTTGAGTCCCATCGGACTCCACCATCATCAACTTAGCCCACTTCTTCTTCCATTCTTGAGGACTCTTCTTCTTCTTCGTGTCATTCTGAGTGGGTTAAGCATTGCCTAGTGTGGCCTCCAAATCTAAGGCTTTCCTAGAAAATGTCTCAAATGAATGGTACTCGAGGTGTGCCTCGCTGGCTAGTAAGCTCCTGATGTTCTCAGGAAGACATCTAACAAAGGTTGTTAACAGGAACAAGTCACTATAGTTGATGCCAGGGACGAGGATCAGACTCTCAACGGTAGTCGTAAGCTCTCTGACCGACTTGAACTTTCGTTGGTCCAGTTTGTTAATCGCATCAGTGGCTCTTTGTGCCTCCTGTGGATTATGCCATCGAGCTTCTACCATTTCCATGAACTGGTCTAACGTTAATGACTTAGCCCAGTCCGTCATGCGTCGCCCGTACCCTGCCTTCACAACTACACCATCTAGCCATTTGGCTGCCTTACCCTCGAGGTAAGATGCAGCAGCCTCCTCAGGCAAGGTCCTCTTTGCCTTCACCCAAACCGGGACGATCCTCAACCATGTGTTGAGTTCTTCGTCCTTTCTCTCGCCTGAGAAGGCAAGAGGCGGTTTCATTGGGGTCTTAGGATACCATTGACCCTGCGGCTGTCCAGATTGCTAAACAGGTTGTTGCGGTGGTGTAGCTCCCACCGCTGGACCCAAAGAAGAAGATGCAACAGTCTGTGCGACTGTTGCAGACGTACCACTTGGTTGTGTACCAGCTTGAACTGGAAAGGGGCCTGACATCGCCGATAACGGCAACGACGATTGTGCTGGTGGCCTAAATCCTGGCCTGGTCAGAACGTCCAGGATCTGGTCCAAAGTGTTCTGCATGAAGTCCAACCTGTTGTCCACGTGCGCATGCAGCGACAGCATGTTGTTCCTCAACACTTTCATGGGCTCATTCATTCCAGAGTCATCCAAGCCCTCTAACTCAGCTTTGTCAGCCTCTAATGTATCAAGTCTGGCTGTTCTATTTTTGATCTCTCTTTCTCTATCGGTTGCTTTCTTCAGGTCCCTCTCTAACTGTTCACGGATCCTTTCGACCTATTGGAGCTCCCTGAGCTCCCTTTCGCGAGGAGTCAACGGGCTGAACTGCGAGCCCGCCATTTGACTCGTAGACTGACGTGATCCTACTGAACTGGAAGTGCCCGCGGACCCTGTTGGCATTCCCAACTGGGGTCTAGACGGGGAGACAACAGAAGATGCAGTGGAGGATGCTGCTGTAGAAGACATGGCTGTTGCCCTGGCTGCTGCTGCAGCCTGTTCCCTAGCTGCAACATTTGCTGCCTCTCTCGATGCTGCGAGAGCACGGGCTCTGCGTTCGGCACAAATGCGTCTTTCGTCTTCCGGTTGTAGGGCCTGGAACACGTGCGGGATCCTACGTGACCTTGCACATGTTAGTCTAGCATCGTCAACTCCCTCCTCATCGACGTCTGACCCGTTCATGAATTAGGCAAACATCGTTTGCACTAGAACCCCCTAGTGGAGTCCTACCACAGCATGTGTCTGACCGACACCTAATTTTCTAAAAATAGTTGTGTCCGGCAGGTACCCTACTGTACGGATCAAGTGGCATGTCTACAACATTCACAACAGATTATCTACATAGTCTAGATGTACTCTGATTGGTTCACTTACAGCAGCATTAGACAGAACTGGCTATGGTAGCATACAACAGTCCTAATCTAATCTAGTATGTGAGGTGTTAGCAGTCTGTCCACCAACTAATCAAAATACAAAATGACCATGTAGCAGATGTATGATTGATGGGTATGGTTGTGTATACAGTTGAGCACCAATTGGAACCTACCCTTCCCCTCAATCCAACGTGTCGGACAGCATCATTGAGCAAGCAGTGTGTTCGTGTGTATTTCGGCCCACCCCTGTGCCCAAGTCCTCACCGAGCAAGCCAGCCAATCCACTCTTATTTACCCTCGTACGGAAACGAGCCTTACACCCGGTTGATATGGCTGATCAGGAGGAATTTATAGAGTGCCCCCATCTCTTCAGGAATTCTTTAACGTCGCAGTCAGGACGACGATTACAGCCAGAATCAAACCGAGTCCCCAACCAGAAATGTTTATAGACGGTCTGGTAAGCGTCTCTAAAAGGCTGGCACACCCGGCGGGACTTCTATTCAGCGCAGCAAGTGCCAACAAGGACAGCAGCCATCGCATGCGTGCTCTACTCCCTGTGGGTTGGCATGGTGACTGTGACCCAGTGCTTCGACCAGGGCCCTTCAAAGGCACCGCCCTTTCTCCTTCCAGATGCTTCCGGGAAGATTGTCGTCTCTCAAGGTAGCGCGCTCACGACACCTCACCAAGAAGAGGACTCTCAAGTTGGACTCACTTCCTCACGGTAAGAAGAGATTGAGAAGGTAGATAAGGTAAGGGATCAACTTACCTGGAGATAGCTGCCCCCAACCACAGATTTCTCACCAATTGAGCTGAAGTTGCATTTGATGACCGGTCATGACCCACCCACAACGCAATGCA